TTAAAATATTTTGCAAAGCAATTTCCTCGTTGTTAATTAGTTCAATATATAATTTTATTCTAAAGCTAAAGATCATCAAATTGTATAATGTACATATTGAACTGTTTGGTATGGTAAAGTTATTTTATATAAATATATGCTTAAAACATACTGTGAAAACATTAAAGAATTTTTGATTTTCTAAAATACTTCAGAAGCTTTGCATAAACTTTATAATATTGTTGATAGTAAAGGAACAGTAATTGGAATACATTAAAAAGATGATACGCGATAATGTGCAGCGTGAATAATCATGTATGATTATCGTTTTATTAACTTTATTCTATGTAGAATATGTAATTAAATTAATAGATACGTTGGTAGTAGTGTGTAATACACGAGTGAATGTAATATTTTTGTTAATATAACCTATTGTAATTCATAAATGGATTTATTTTGGAAAGTATTTTGAAATTTATGTACTTGTGAAACATGATACACTTTTTCGCATTGAATTTGAGTTCCGTGTCTATTTTTTTTTTTTTGTTTTTTTTTTTTGTTAATACAACGTACTTTTCGCAGTAAATCCATTTATACATTAAAATAGATCACATGTATGTGCGTGATGTATCTATATTTATATACAGGTTGTTTCATGAGGACGAGACAAATCGAAACATGAGACTTCTTTATGTGCATATTTCGATACGTCCTATACTTTTGAGATGTCCTGTTATAAATTAATGCATTTTATAAAAAGTGTCATTAATATATATATTATATATATACGAGGACGAAGATATTTTAATAATATAAAAGAATGTATTGTATACTGTGTCCTTAAAATCTAAGACTATGGAGAAAGTACATTTTTTAATCGAAAAAAATTTGTAATTGTAAAATAAATTGTAAACTGGTTGTTTCGAAAGAATCTGATTTATGATTAAACATTGCGAATTTTATGTGTAAAATTCGTTGCATAATTTATAATTATATAATTGAACATAATATAGGATTATGTATCTACATGTCATATTGAAGATTGAATACTGTTAAATAACATAGTACAGAAATTAAGAATTAGACTCTCGTAACAAGTGTTAGAGAAATTTTATATTTATATAGCTAGATATATTTACAAAGTAATTTCAGTTGATTGTCATCTAGTTTATAAATAACATTGAGTACAAACCTGCAATGTTTCGATGTTTTGCCTTAAATATGCAATTAAATCATAAAAAGATTATTTCATATATTTTATACACGGAAATGTAAGTGATTAATTCTAAAATAATTTACTTTTTTGTATTTCTAATTTAATGTAGAAGATATACTACATTATGTTGTAATATTACGAACATAGTATTATCTATATTATACCGCTTTGCTAGCAATCAAAATCAAAGTGCAAAATTATTGCATTTTGATTAAAAAAATATGTTTATTCACTGTTATGATTATGTTAAAGTTTAGCATACAATAGAGTATTATTTAACAATCATGGCATATAAGCTTTTTTATAGTTATTATATACTAATTGTTTCATATGTTTTATACACACATGCAAACATACGTTATGGTATACATCTAATAAAGACTATGTATTTTACTTACTTTCAGAATTATAAAATTATACTATTTTTCCTGCTTGTTACTTTATACTTTCTATAAAGATATATTGGTGTATGATACATTAAAGACTATTTCTTCCTTTCACTTTATTTTCATAGTAAATAGTACAAAACATAGTAAAAAATATAAACCATTTGTGTAAAATTATAAAGCTAAAAATTTATATTAAAATTGATTTAAATAATGTGTTAAATTTGTATGTTTCGATCATTTCTTGATTCGATATCGAACGTCATGAGTATATTTTTGAAAATTAATGAACATTTTATATATATACCTTGTATTATCTAATTAAATAATATATACAATATGTAACAAACATTACCCAGTGACTAGCAAAGCCAAGTTGGGACCACTTTTCAATAGTATGAACATAACTATACCCTGTTTCTTGTAATTCAGATGTATCAAACATAAGACCTAAATAAGCTAAATGGAAAACTGATAATCCAGAAAACATAATATTTGTTAAAAACACCCACCATGAAGTATGAGTTTTGTATGTATGCGTACATTTATTCTTAGTACACTGTTTGGACGCGATACACGCGTCAAAAGTATTTGCGAGTATAGATCTGAGCTGGAATTCTACGTATGTATAAAATCCAAGACTAAGTAAGACTGCTGCCAATTGGAAGTTTAATCCATGTAGAAGAGCACTTGTCAAATACGTAATTGTCACAGCTCCAAATTTTCCTACATAATTAATACTAGGACGGAATATATCTACAAAATTTATACCGAAATTTGAGTAAAATTCATTGATGAAAATGTATATGACATAAATACGTACACGTTTTTAACCAGAAATGCATCGGTAAATTCCAACAAATAACAACTTGTACAAGCGACCGTGGAAATTCTACTTTTAATGGTTTTACTATAACGGTTAGCGCAAGTGGAAATCCCCCTAGTAGTAATACAGTGGATGCAATATATGAAATGAAATAATGAGATGTTCGAAAAGATAATGCATCTCTATAAGCTAGTAACCATCTAAAATGATAAGAAAAGTTAGTACCTATTATAATGTAAAATATGGAAAACAGCATAATATTTACTAACTTCCAGGAATTATCCATTGCTATCCATTGAGTCCAACAATTTGACATAGTTAAAAATAGAAAGGATAAAAATGCATATTGAATGGTATACAGTATCCACCATTTATCCTAGGAATTAGAAATTTTGTTAATGTGTATTAGTTGGTTTCATATATTTACAAAACAAAATATGCAACTTCTAATAATAAAACGTTTGTATACCTGATTATGTAAGTAACGTATGGAAATATAATCCTTAAACGATATCCATGGACCAAAAAGACATGTAACTCCGCAAAAAGTGTATCCCATATAAGTAAGGATATCGGGTAAATCATTTGAATCAATTTTATCTATAGCTATGCTAATTGTTTTCATTGCCATTGTCAACACCACACTGCGTATTTTATGCCAAACTATCGGTGGCATGGAAAATTCACTGAAAATTAAAAACTATAGAAGAAGAATTTCTATAGATAAATGTAGATTTGCAACTTACCAATATGCAATAATAAAGAGAGATGGCAAAAATATTCTTATACACTTATAGTATCGTGTAGATAGGTGTAAAGTGATGTATGAAAATGTACAAAATACTAGTAATATGTATAAGCATTCGGATACATAGTGATGGATATTGTATAAACCAATCAACATTGATAATATATGGAAAGTTCTATGCGATATGCGTTCTGTAATATTAAGTAAAGAAGTAGATCATTTGATTTTATACTCCACTAATTCGTTTATATATCGTCTACAAGAATACATCTTACGAGAACCAGCACATAATCTAAATATAACAGTAGAAATAAATAACGGTAGTATATATGAGGCTGTATCATAAACGGTGGGTCCAAGGCAGTATTGATACAATTCGTAGACGGTTTCTCTTTCCATATCCTCGTATTCGTATTCATAGTCTGCATCCTGTAGATACTCGTGTCCCACAAAATCACTTTCATCGTAATAAAAAACTGGGGCCTCTACATCGTCCATTACAAGTAGAAATTAAATCGCCGGTTTATCAATAGCATACAAATCTAACAATAATCATAACGCCACTTCTCTCAAAACCTAGTTCAACGAAATGGAAATTGTAATCATTTATAGAACATCGGGCAGCAAAATGATTCAAGTGAAATTTGACTGAAAAATATCAAATGCATTTCAACAATTTTCATTACAAGAACACTAAGGATTTGTTTATGCTATGTTCGAATATTCTATCGAAAAAACGTTTAAGTTTGTCATAATAGTTCCTTTTTTCACTGTTAGACGGCGCCATTTTTTCATAGTATTTACCACTTCATGGTAATTTATCAACACGTGTCGGTAAAAAACAGTAAAAGTGGTGCCACCTAACAGTAAAAAAGGGAACTATTCGAGGATAAACTTGAGCGTTTTCACGATAGAGGCGCTGATCATACTCTGAAAATATTTCAGTATTTCACCGCTAGATGGCAATACCAATTTCCCGCGGAAAATTTGAATCTTTTATTAATTAATTTGAAGTTCATTGGAAGCATTTGTAGATACTAATAAGTAGGTTATGAGTCCTGTTCCGGCTTCGCCTGGGAGCAATTTTATGAAGGTTGAGGAAACACAAAATTAAACTCAATGTATTGAAATGTTAAATCTACAAGTTATAATTTTATTATATACATAGTAAAATGAAAAAAGAATAACTTATGTTTTTTCGTTTAAATTTAAACAATTTTATACATTGCTTTACAATTTCATTAATTCTTAATGAGGGAATATTAGAACTTTTCTAACGAAGTTACAATAGCAACTTCATTTTGAAGCAAGCATAGAAATAGGATCAGGTAATAAACCTAAAGTTTGCAAGCAAATCTGTGCTGCTTCCGCTTTAGCCTGTTTTTTGTTAGGACTTGCTACACTTGGTTTATATTCAATTCCATTTACCTTAACCTGAAATATAATGTTAGATCAGTTATATGTAAAATTTGCCGATAAAAAGTTTATAAACTATCGGAAACCTTGAAAAGGAAATTTTTTCTGTGATCTGGTCCACATTCAAAACATAATTCATATACTGGAGCACCAAGCTTCCGCTTTGAACAATATTCGCCTAATAACGATACCGGATGTTTTCCTGTAATTTATTAATTTTAGCTTCATCGTATCAGAATTCTACGAATTATAAAGTTGAAAAGTTATTGCAATATACCTTCCAAAGTTTTGATCGCAGGCACCAATGGCTTTGCAGTTTTCCCTATTTTCTGTCCAATATCTTGTTCAGAAACGAGGCCTCTTTTATCCAATTTTACCTCGAGCTGCAACGGCTCAAGAGTACCTTCTTTATTTTTTCCCAAACCCTCCCCTGGTCGCCAACCCATCTTCTGTAGTAAAGCCATACCCATCCCACCCGAAACAGGTTGTGCTGATACTAATTGGTCCTAAATAGTTCATTAGGTTAGGATATAATTGATATTACACTATCAATCGAATTAACAGATTGTGGACGGGGGACGATGGCGACAAAAGACGTGAATCGGAATTTTTTTATTTGTAGAGCGCAGAACGAGACAAACGCAAATCGTCGTTACTTAATTGTCAAGCATTTAAGACACAAGGCAATAAATCACATCATAAACAGTATTTTTAATAAAATTGGTTTCGCAGTTTCCGGTTCACAATATGTTAAGAGATAGAATAGTAGTAATATATATGTGCACTAATATATGTACATATATGTATGCAGAATAAAATAAACTCAATGCTATCTGTGATGTACCGCTCTTGACGAAATAATCAATGCTTACATATATATGTGTACAAAAAGAAGTAAAATAATTTTTATTACTTTATGTCCAATCATGATACTTCAATGTATAATTGATTATATAAAATTCTAATATTTTTTGGGTGATGATACTTACCAAAGAAATCATAAATTCGACATCACGCCGCTGAAGGTGTTTCTTCTCTGATGTAGCTACGTGCCTGTAACAAACCCTCAGGTGGATGCAGACTAATGCTAAATATCCCAGCTTTATGATAGAAAGATATAGTAACGCTTGATGAAGTCCTATGATAGGAATGCTGACGATAATTAGCAATAATCTCACAAGAGCCCATTATATAAGAAAATATTTTCGTTCTCTGATGTGCCTTAAATTTATTACATTTGTAATGAATGACATCAATCGTTTATTATTCACCTAATAAACCAGTGTACAGTTTTATCACATATTGTACACGATGTATAACATAACGGTGCTCCTGTGTCCGTGCAGGCACAGAGTCTACCTCTATACAAGAAATAGTCTGTGCCTACACCACAGTTCCTATCAGATCAATGTAACAGATCTTGATAGAGACTGTACCTGAAAACTTGTTACAGGCAATATCAGTATCAGGTAATGCATTGTTAAAAAAAACAAAAACAAAAACAAAAAAAAGAAAACTGTGATGTATACAAGAGATATGTATTCACATCTCAGATAGGATTTTATCAATCATCTGACATGTAAATATATAGTTAGATTAAGGGCTGCTATCATAAGTTTCAATGGCAAAATAAACGTGGAATGACGAACAATAAGACATAATCAGGCAGATTGTAAATAATACTGTTACCTTACGAGCCCAGGCTTGGTAACCTGAAGTAAGTTCTGCAGGCGAGAGCACTTTGGCTCCTGTACTGCCAGTAAACTGACCTGGCATCTGCTTACTTTCAGCCCACGTTTTCATCTGAAACATAACATATAAAACGGAAATGCATAATATTGTAAATATATCGTATTTTTAATCTCAGAATATTACCTCGTTTTGTGCACGATACATTTCATTTTGAGCACATACGTCATTTGGATTTTCTCTTAATTTTCTCATTGCTGCTAATCGTTGAGATACTATCGAGCCGATATCTATCAACTGTAATTATTATGTCCGTGTAAGTATACAAATATTGTTTCAAACCACCTGGAAAGGTTCTTTTTTGTACCTCTGTTGTTACTGGTTGGGTAAAAACTGTTGCTGCTTGCACTGGCTGAACAGGTGCAGGCGGAGGTATAACAGGAGGAGATTCGCTCGGCGTAGAAGCTGGTACAAACTGTTTTTTTGGTTCTGGTTTTTTTGGTATTACCGGTACCCATTCATTCTCTGTAAGAAATAAAGATTTGTATACAGTTAAATATAAAATTGTCTGTATACATCTTGGTCCCCGAAGGAATCTTACCACTTTTTCTATGATGTTGGCCGCTCGATACAGGAAATTGTAAACGTAGTTGATTCGATGATTCTACTGTTTTTTCTTGGAATGTTTTTGTCGGTAATTGTTTAGCATCCTAAAGTGTGAGAACAGTTATAATTAATAATTACGTTATTTATTTCTCGTTATATCTCGTTAAAAATATCATACTCACCCGAATATTCATAATAATAGAACTAGGTCGCCCTTTGAGCAAAAAAGGATGGTGAAAACCTTTTTCAGATTCACTTCCATCCTCTTCAGATGAGATACTAGAAAGTTCACCTAATGCTTCAGATTTTGATAATGATTTACAAAAGTCTGAAATAAGAAAAAAAGAATGTTTTATACTTATAACATAATTATTACTTTTATATTTACCTGTGAGTTCATCTACCGTTTTTCCACCAGCTTGTATCGCGGCAATTGCTTTGTCTTGTTGAGCTAATGGTAGTGTTCCTTGTTTAATCATGTTTATTGCATTTCTCCTTGCAATTTCTAATAATTTCTTCTTATCAATTTCTATTCTTTCCCTGATAAATTATACAAATTAAACATTTACAAATGGATACATACAGTGTCCTATATTAAACAAGTAATACTAACTTCCGTTCTTTACTTCTACTTCGTCCTCGTACATATTTATCTCTGCTTCTATCGTCGCTACGACTTCTATGTCTTCGCCTTTCTCTACTTTTTCCAGAATCTCGTCTATCGTTGCTTCGACTTTTTTCGTGCCTATCTTTACTCCTATCTCTTCGTTTATCTCTCCCTCTGCTTCTACTTCTATGGGAGTCCGAGCGCGTTCGAGATTCGGATCTTCTTTTTTCTTGCGAGTGACAATTGTGATTACGTTTACCATCTCTGTATACTTTTTCTTTGTATTCGCTATCCATGTACAACTTTGACTTTTCTACATCGTCTGTCCTTTTATCCATACCTTCGAGTCTTTTTTTCTCTTTTTCCCTCAAAATCAATCTCAAATCATTTCTTGCAGTTTTCCCCCATTTTGTAGGACTTAGCACTCTATTTTCCATTTTATCCAATGTCGGACTTAACGTCGGCGATCTATGCGAAGTATATTGTAATGGGCTAGGACTTAACGTTGGAGTTCTGTTATCTGTACTACTATCAGATATTTCGCCATCTTCCATTCTAGCTGCTTTTTCCTTTACCTTGTTTTCTATTTCCTTCACTGTCGCGTTATAAACTGTACTGTTCTTGAGATCTTTTATTAAGATTTTTCCTTGAGCAGCTTGCTTTGATTTTTCTGCATATAGAAAAAGTATTCGTGTGTTTAATACTGAATTTTCTTCTTTAAAAAAGAAAACAGTCGCATGGCAGTTTACTGTATATATTTAAAAAATAATATTATTTTCAATATATAACTGTTAAATAAAATACACAAACCAAGAATTTTAGGTATCAGCAATTCTTCGGGATCCTCTTCAAGCTTTTTTGAAATAGGAGGCAATTGAGGACTTTCTGAACTTTTCACAAAAGTGCTTTCCATCTGTGGCTCCTGTTTAATTGATAATACTTCTTCCAAATTTGTTGATGCAACTGTATTTTGTTTGTCAAATTCATTATCCTTATTATAACTTTTCTTGTTTACATTGTTACAAGAACTATTAAGCTTTGACACTTTATTCTTAGGCTCATCTGAATCTGATGACCTACTCGAGTCATTTTCATGCTTTCTTTTCGTCTTCTTTTTATGCTTCTTTTTCTTTTTAACATCTATTCACCACAAAAGAAGATTACATTTAACTAACGAGTGTTACAGATACCTAGATATATTTTTAATTAGTTATGATATCTTACTAGAACTTTCAGGATCGCTGTTACTTTCAGAGGAATTACGTTTCGATTTCTTTTTATGCTTTTTATCCTTGTGCTTGTGTTTCTTCTTGGTCTTCTTTTTCTTGATCTGAGACTTCTTGAGTTTTTCAGTTTTAATACTGGCATTTGGAACTTGTTGATCGGTATTCTCTGGTGATGGTATCGCTTCTTCGGCATCAAACGTGCTAAATAACTCTGTCAGTATTTCATTCGACGATTTTTCTGGCAGTCCAGGCTCCGGTTTAATTTTTATTCTATCAACACCGACAGTAGTGATTAAATTTGCAATATCAAATAAGTCTCCCATTGTTAGTACTCGCTCATTTGGCCAAACAACGAAAAACCACGATAACGAAGATTTTTACAAATTTTTACAATAAATACGTTCAATTGTACTGTCATAGTACTGTCACATTCAACCAACCGTCGCCATTTATACCTGTTTATCCAGACCAGCAGACCAGTTTGCTAGACCTAATGATCATTCGCCATTACAATATTTGAAACTAGCGACACCACTTTGCCTGAAGTGCCGAACTACAAGAAATTTGAGTGTCGTATTCTTTTCCAATAATCTGTATCTCTGATTTTAATTTAATCTACCTGATTTCTCACACGTTTCTTAATATTTTCACAGCCCTAGAATGTATCGATCGATTGAGCTAATTTTTTAATCTTAATAATTTCATATACCGCGGTAAATAAAAAAAAAACCGAATGAACAAAATCAGTTAAGTGCAATTTTTAAGTTGCAAATGGAGGTAAACCGTACAAAGTCGACAATTTCAATTGGAATTCCAACTGTAAGAATGGAATGCTCTCTTTAAAAGCCAGTTTCGAGAGTTAGCAGTCCGGTTGAATGGATCGTGTTATATAAAAAAAAATTTGGAATGTCAAGGTCAGAACTCCAAGGTACGTTGCTATACGCACACATTTACTTAGTTTGAATTCGTTATTAAAAAATCAAATCTTACTTGAAAAAATTTATGTCGTATGGGTCTTTGTACTACAGCTTCGACGATTTTCGATGATTTTAGCGCGTTTTTTTTATTAATTTATGCACTTAGTTTAACAGACAAATCATTTGAATTCAAGAGTGTACGAATAGTACATACAGGGTGTCCCAAAAGTCGGGGAGGAGCCGGAAATGGGGGTAGCTGAGACGATTCTGAACAACAATTTCCTTTGCAAAAATGTCGAATGGGGCTTCGTTAAGGAGATATTAAGCGAAAACCCCGACCAATCAGAGCGCGCGTAGACCGTTCGAGCGGCCGCGGTAGCGTAGGCTACGCGCTGGTGGCCGCGCTTGCACGCGAACAAGTGACTCGACGTGCATCGAAGCATCGACCTAGCGCGTAGCCTTCGCTACCGCGGCCGCTCGAACGGTCTACGCGCGCTCTGATTGGTCGGGGTTTTCGCTTAATATCTTCTTAACGAAGCCCCATCCGACATTTTTGCAAAGGAAATTGTTGTTCAGAATCGTCTCAGCTACCCCCCATTTCCGGCTCCTCCCCGACTTTTGGGACACCCTGTATATTGGTAATCTTGTATTAATAAACGAACAAATAAAATATGAGACAAAATTGATGTATTGACAATGTAATTTAAAATATACAAGAAATTGTGATAAATAAAAACTAAGAATGAAAATGTCCGAATGATTTCAAGTACAACATAATATTACATAAAATTTCGTAATTCTACATGATTAATGATTTTCATGAGATAAACAAATATATACTAACTACCTAGCTAATGTTTCGCTCGTTTCGAGTACCTACTCTAATGCATGGTATTAACATCTATTAAAAATTTCGAAAATATCGATGAAGTTGTTTGTACTCGACATTAATGATTACGATCTTAAATAACGAAATGAAAATTTTACGAAAAGAGCTTATGTTTTAGAGCTTAATAATTTAGACACTTTATTAACAGACAAATTAACGCAATGTAAGAATCATTCACAAATATAATAACTGGTAAAAAGGCAAAATTGTAATGGTCTAAATTCTACTTTATTAGCTTCTAAACCCTTCAACCCTACAGCAAAGTACTTCTTATGATTGTACGTTATATATGTTAAATACCTTTCAGTCAGAATACATGTTAACAGTAAATTTTCTTATATGTATGCAGACACGCCAATATAAAATGTTTTGATAACATTTAGAAGAACCAGTAAAAAATTAGAATTGTTTATTCAAAGTATCTAACGAAATAATGGAATATATAATAGGATTTAGAAATACTGATTTGTCAGTGACACCCTGCTTATCTTGCTACCTTAATTCTGTTTAAAAAACGGAATCTCGAAAGATAAAAAGAAAAATGGTGTAGACAGAGCATCCTCGATCGATTAATATTTCTTAATCCTACTTCATTGTTTAATATGACATTTTTTAGATGAATTTTCCTTTAAGATTATTTCTTTAATACATTTGATTTAAGTTGCATTGTATTGTATAAAAAAAAAAAAAAAAAAAAAGAAGAGGAATTAATGTATCCCATTTTTCGTTGAAGAAATATACAATAATGCTAATCATAGCCAAAAGCAGGTGGCTAGAAAAATTCCAGCATTATTTATTAATTGAATGCAAATGCCTATTGTCTCTGTCGTTTCCTGTACCTTTTAACTCTTTGCGGTCGTATGTCGAGCGAGACTTGACAAAAATGTATGGAAATTAGAAAATTTAAACCGCAAAGGGTTAACTAAATAACATTTTCTTGCTTTTAATCATAATTGTATACACAATATACACATTTCTTGTATAATATCACCAAATTTTGTAAATCATAGAAATGCTAAGTTTCCATTGCGTAGAATATATAATATATAAATATTACAACACCCTAGATTAGTTAAGTCAAATAATTATATGTTTGTATGTAGTTTGTAATTAGATATTTATAGTTACCACTACACAAATACCCTTAGAGGCATTCTACTACACAGAGATCCTGCATATCTTATAATAAGATTCGTAAATATGATATACAAGGTGAGAACATTGGACAAAACTAAACTAGGGTAAGGAAGTGGATGTTAATTTCATTAGCATTGCAATAAAATTAAAATTGAATATTTTTTTCATTAAATTTCTATAACTTACAATTGTAAATCTGCTCATTTTTCGGCATTATATAATACTAATGACTAGACTTCATGTTTTGTTGCTATTTGTACTCTGTGTCAAGCACATTTACTTTGTTGCCTTTCTAATTAATCCAATGATACGCACAACGAAAATTTATGAATGTGCAAATAGCAACATTCAGTTGCAGGTACAGCTTATTATTCAGACAAAATTAAACAGAATATCTTATCTCATGACCCCTTCACTCGTGATATGTAGGAATTCATCGCGATTATGAAACATATGTTTGTCCTGTTATTGATTGCATTAGAATAAATTTTATTCGCATCCTTCGTGTACCTGTGATTTAGACATCATACGAATCCTTGAAAAATTATAGAATTCTTATAGCTTGTACCCGCAGACTGGTATGCTACATGAGTCATGTCATTTAGTGCAGTTCGCGATACATTACCGCTACCAGTCGTGGATGATCGATATAAAACACTTTAATAGAAATTATATGTAGAATTTAATCATTGTCTATCACAATGTATGGAATACTATGAGAAGAATGCTCGTACAGTCATACTAACAGGCTCCCTGCATACTGCACAAGTTGTCATGCCAGGAGCACATTTAACACAAGCAACTATATGTCCACAGGGTAAAAATACTACACCCAATTCTCCATTATAACAGATTTTACACATCCTTGCATCATCTATAGGTTTATTATTTTGTGTCTTTGAATTATTCAACAAATCTTCAGTACTTCCTTTTGCAGACTCTGTAGTACTTCCGATGCTCTCTATCCCACTATCTTGAGAACCTATACTTTGAGAACTTGGACCTGGATTACTTTCTGTATCTTCTTTTTTCTCTGCTTCCATTGGTAAAGGTTGAACCTTTTTAATGAAACCAGGTAGATTCATTTGCATTGTTTCCTGAAATAAATAAGAAGAATATAAATATTTGATTCCTTCTTGTATAAATAACATAGAATTCGAAGTTTCCATACTCACCTCTTTAGATGGTGGAGATATATGTTGGCCCGTCATTTTATTTACATAATCTTGACCCTTAACCATTAATAGATAATAGCATTTAGAGAACCATTTTGCGTGCTGTTCCCATGGATCATCCTCTGGTTCCCAATCTTTTAAACCACCTCCACAATGATAACATAAAGTTTGGTCACCTTTTCCAGTATAATAAAAACCTGCATCAGCCAACTGTTCTTTTGTCTGTGGCATAAATTTTGGCCAAGTTTCAAATGTATGTAGCCTAGCATCATAGCTAGCATACTCAGAGTGTACCGGCCCTTTGGATCTTCCCAAGCCTAAACAGCTCAATTTTGCTGAACTTGGTAATTGCAACTCCGTTGAGAAATTATGGTTATCAGGACCAGAAGTTGGTCTATATTCAACGCCGTAAGGTCCGCATACATCTCCGCTTCTTGGTCTGGGTGGTAGAACGGTACTTGGATCCACTCCAATCGGTACATTGCCACAATTCATTTTGCGAATAAATCTACATCTTGCTGACCAACGTTGATGGTCTGTCATAGGGTTATCACCTTCTACCCATTGACATATTTCTACATTGCATTCGAAACATCTTACTTTATCACCCTCTCCTGTGTAATAAAATCCAGCAGCTGCGAATATTTCAGGTGCGATATATGATACAGGCCAATTTTGAAAACTTTGCAGTCTAGCTGCTTCAAAGCGATAATCAACGTTATCCACTTCATCTCTCAACACGTGCTGCGGTATAGGGGATGGTGGTGTTAAATGTGGATTTGCAGAAGGTTTAAAAGTCGAGTCACTTCCATACTCTCTGTGCTTAATAATACCGGTCATCTTGTTTAAGTTACGGATAGAAGTAATATCTTGATAGCCTCGATTTTGAAACCTATTAAAAACATAGGATTTCGTAAAACGAATAACCGACCATTGTAATTAAATTTATTTTACGGACGTATTGTTAACGACAATTCTATTTATTCTTTTTGTTACAATTTATGTAATGGTAACTTTTACGATGTCACTTTACTTCGAATTGTCAAAGTTTAGTATCGGATTTGCGTAATAAAATTGAGGGACATATGGAACCGTCACGTATAAAGAAGTGCAATGTTAGGGACGCACGATCGTGTTGCACATTTATGGAAAATTGTACGTATACGTGAGTACACAAATACAGAAAGAAAGAGAGAGATAGAGATAGAGAGAGAACTTTAGTGAGTGGGACTCACTAGCTGGTCGCGATGCCGTTATGATTCGTGAATGACGGAGTATCGTTTCACACATCTACGTAACGTCGAAATAACGCAGCCTACATATCGCACACAAACGAAAACTTCCGAGAACAAGCTCGATCTCTCTCTTCGTTCTCAGAGCTACAGTTCTCATAGCCTGAACGGACGCAGCTGTAATACACACTCATGCTGTTCACCGCCCTGTGCGACGTTGCCGCTTGTATGGCCCGTATTTTAACTTCTCTTGTTGCATTACACCACTGCACGCTCATGGGAATGAAATGTATCGACAAGGGCGTAGCAACTCGTGCCTCTTTTTCTTATTTATTATTATTTCATTCGAACGACTTTCCTTTATCAAATAATTACGAATACCTGGCCACTTTATAATTACGTTTCAACAACTTTATCATAGAATTTAAACGTTATAATAAATATTATTCCTTCTATGACAATAATGAAATATCTACTACCAAGTTCGTAACTTCCTAACTTTGTAACTATACCTTCATTGTTTTCGATACAAGTATGTTTGACATTTATTTATTTTATTAGTTGCGTTGTAGCATCAACGAGAAAGCGCAGCTTATACAGGGCACTAAACCGGTTTGGTACGGCTCTGCGTTGGAAATCTACAGTGAATTCCTTTCT